TTTCTGCAATATGTGAGAATGTGAGCCCCTCCATGGTAATGTAGGAACTGAAAACCTGGGTTTGTGTTCAAAAAACAAGGGGAAGTTGTCACAAGGCTGCTTATGAGAAAGGTAAGAAGCCATGTCCCATCTGGCAGGATTTTTGGGTGACTGATAGCTAGCACTATTGGCCTTCTATTCATTGATGTTGGCTGGGCATGTGTGAAATATGCTCAGAAAGGCAGAACAATCTTGGAGCTTGAGAGTGTCTCCTCAGCTTTGTCTGCTTCCTATGTGATTCATAACAGACTGGGCTTTATGGCCTGCCTAGTTGTACAACTGTGCACCCTCTATACAGGTATGTTAGCAATGTCGTGGTCCAAAATGAAACTAGAGCCTTTGTAGGTGTGGGAACTGAAGACTTCTGGATTGCTTGTGTTGATTCAAGTGACATGTACGTCCCTGTCACCTATTTCTAAAGAGTCTCCAAATCTCATCTCTGGTTTCTGTTAGTGGCTATGCCATGGATTTGATAAACACCTTTAAACAATTTTTTTTTGGAGGGGTTGGTGAATGTTCCTTTAGAGGACCTTGTGAAAGCCATGGTATCTAGAAGAACTCTTCATGACTTCTGTATACTTGCACTGTTAATTCACGTGGCAACTTGTCTTCTCAATCTTTTTTTCTGTTAACTAACATGTTGTCTTGCTTCCTTTCCTGTTGTAGTCTGTAGTGCCACTACATATCCTGCTTAAGCCATCCAGTATAATGAATTAATTCTCTCTCTTTTCTTCTTTTTAAATAAGACTATCCCTTCAGTCTATAGCAAGTATATAAATATGAAATCGTGTACTTGCTCTGATGTAACATTTCTTTATCACTCATATTGAAAAGCAAGAATTTGATTGATGAAGAGAGGTGGGGGGGAAGGGGTAAATGTTTGCTCTTGTTTTTAGTGAGCAGAGTTTTGCTAAGTGATAATTACTATTCCTCAGTCTCTTGTGCAGATTAGGAGCTTCTTAGGGTCCTCTAAGAAAAATGCTTTCGGCCTAGTTAGCAGATCTTCAGACAGGTGAGCATTATAATGTCTTTGGTAAGTGCATTCTTTTTGTAGTGTTTTTCCTTATTGTTACTCCCTTCTCTTTGGTACTCTGGCATTATCCATGTCTTACTAAAACATTTGTGTAATCTGTATTGAGCTTCTCTGCAATTCTGGGCTGCAGAAGAGTTACGGAAGCTGAAAAAATTACACAAAGCAAAAGCAGTTGATCTGAAATTATGGGAAAAGAAACAACATGGTCTTGTTTTGTTTAGCAAATTTATTTACTGAGCCTCCTTTCAAAACATAGGCATAAAAGATCCAGTGTGGCTAAGATTATTCTTGGCCCACTTGAGGACAGTCGTGCCATAGAAATCACGCTACCTGAAAGGGTTCAAAATTTAAACTTTTTCTCTCTTTATACTGTGGGATTGAAAGGCTTCAGGACAGAGATTTGTCAAAACTCTTTAGTTATGTATCTTCAAAAAATGTTTCAGGAAAAGATGCAAGTATCTTAAAAATGAAAACAACTGATTTGAAGGACCTAATTTAATTGGTATGTATATTTAGGGCCTCACCATGATAGATATAAAAGGTGCTTCAAATTAATAACTTGAAACAGCTTTTTAATTCCTGAGTACATTAAAACAAACAAGTTAGTTATTGCTCAGTTCTCCTTCTTTAAAAGGAGAAATAGAAGGAACTTAGAATCTAGCAGTTCACCTGTTCTCACTGAAAAAGTGAATCAATTGTCAAGACATAACTTCTTCAATTTGGAGATACCATGAGAAAAGGGAATGTCAACATGTCTATTTCTATTAGTGTTAGAAAGCATTTTTCAGTCCACCCTATCTGTGGTTCCAATCTTTTTAATCTCACGTTGCATGTAGCTTGGTTAATAAATTGTTTGTTTAGCCAATATGTAGGAGAAAGTCTGGAAAGAGCTATATTCAGGTGTGAGAAAGTAATTTTGATATTAGTCTGTGATATAAATTGCTAGTTTTGGTGATGTAGATGATCACACAGTAGGAACCAAAGCAAGGTTCCTTTGGGTAGTTTTACTTGGTCTAGTCAACTAAAATGCATCTAAGCAAGTGGTGCAGACTGAATTCCCCGTTTCTTTCATTGGTATAAAAAGCCAAAGTCTTTACAATTTTATGAACATTTTTCAGACTCTGCCCTCTAGTAATGGCACTACCCTGCCCTCTAGTAACAGGCTGGCATGGCTTTGTGTTAGTAGTAGGAGAACATTTGTAAATAGTTTGCCAAACCCTTCAGCTCATAATTCTCTTACTGCTTCACTGAGAAACAGTGAAGCACGATGAGTAAAATGGTGTGAAATGTAGTGGACAGTGTGTTCTTTGACTGATTTGGAATAAGGAAAAACCACAAACCCTAAGTGATTAGGTTTTCTGATCACTTCCTTACAAGAGTATGATCCATCTTGCAATCACTTGTCACAGGTGGAAATGTTAGCTAGTATCATAACACTGTCAAAATGTCACATGGGACCTGTGTTGACTAGTTCTTTTAGACAACTCATTACACTCAATCAAATCAAGCGCTGACATGAAAAGGCGTCTTGATATCTTAGTCTTGCTGTAGTAGCGTCAGGTCATCAGAAATGATAAGAGGTGTCATCTCTCTCTTTTGGACTTGAAGTGCTGCCTAATTTAGCATCAGGGTAAAGGCCTTGTATAGGCAGGGAAGAGACATGAAGCTTGCCATCTTATTCTGAACTTTGTAACTATATGTGGGCTGACTGAGATATACCTACCTCACCTTGCTGAGAGTAACTTTCTAAAAGAAGTAAAGAAAAGAATCTTTAGATTTCCTTTTATTTATTTACTACTTATGTACTACTGAACATGAAGTGTGAGCAATGGAAAAAATGTTCAAACCTTAACTGACTGTGGTGTCACAATATAAGTGGGTTATGGCCAAACCCTGTTCAAAACAAGGTCACATTAAGTTAATAAAGAGCCCGTAGGTGCTGTTTATCTTTTGCTTGTGTCTATGTAAAGAGGGTCCTCTGTTACTATAAGCCAAAAAAAAAAAAATCCTGAGCCAGTAAATTATAGGGTTGAAATTCTTCTGCTCCGGTGCTGCAAAATGGTAATGCTACTGGGGTTGCAAGGGCAGAAATGACCTTGAAATACCTGTGAAAGTGGAGCTCTGACCTGCCCTGTGGGATTGTGAAAAAGCCATGATTGCCCCAATAGGCATCCTCCTCACCTCACCCCTCCCTGCCATTTTTACGCTTATGTGTACTTATTCTGCTCCACTTTATACCTCTATAATGTTATGTGATTTCCCTGGCAGTTTTCTTTCAGGGTATTAAAACTGGATCTGCCCACCTAACAAAGAAGACTGACCTTTTAAATACAAGCGGGTTCATCTGTTTGTCATAATTATCCCACTTTTGAAGTCTCGTATTTGACTGACAGATCAACTTTCAAACTCTTTTCTACTTCTAAGTTTCTCTCCTTCCAAAAATGGAATGCCAGCTCATTAATCTCTCAGTACTAGCTCTGCCTCTACTTTACTTGTCCAACGGCATGCTGCTGAATACCCTTCCATTCTGCGAATGGAGTCTAAAGAAACCAACTTGTATATGTTTTTAATTATATGTTTGCTCAGCCTTCTGAGGATGTCGGGAGCTGTGAACTGTAGATGCCAAGTGATTGCCAGAAAGAAAGCTGCTGATTGCAGTACATAGTAGACAGAACGTTCTGTGGGACTGTCACTGCTTTGCCATGCACATACCGACAATATTTTAGCCTCTCCTCTGATGATAGTACTGTCTCAGGTTCTCCTGGAGACAAAGTCTTGGTCAAGGGAAAACATAAGCAGTGGTGTAGTCAAGGACAAAGTCAGTCTCCCCCAGATTCCAGTCAACTGACTATTCTTTTTTCCTCATTTGGAAGGAACTGATGAAAGGCTAACAATGTTTCTTAAAATGAGCATAACTTGCTGTATTATGTTAGTCTAGACAAAGAAAATCAAATTAATTAGCAGAAAGACTGCGAATGTGCTGTGTAGGAGGAGCTGTCATTAGAGTACCTCATCCAGGCTCCTGTGGCTTGGTATGTGTTCAGAATATCTCTGGTCTTCCTATCAGCAGCAGAGGAGAAATAGAATAATAGTAGGCTTCAATTAGAGACAGAACTATAATTCAACCATGGGCAAAGAGAGGGGGAGGTGAGTAGGAAGATGGTTGCTCTGCAAAGCCTAGGTCATAAAACACAAAATCTCAGTTTATGCATGGCAACAGATCTTCCTATGATTGAATTACAGCCCTCGTATTCAATAATGGGCCAAGCCGGTAAACCAGGATACAGGCAGAACAAACATTTACATTCTTAGGGAAATGACGGCAGGAGAATCACTGAGCAGTGCATGAATCAAAGCCACGAGAGCATAGATGTAGGACAGCCAAGTGTTGCCATCAGTGTGAAGTGAGAGGGATGGAGTAAGTTTCCAGTACTGGGGATGTAAAATTTCCTGCAGTAGAGGTCATCCTGCAGTACTTCATCTTTTGGAAAATCATATTTTGGTTAGTGGCACACACTGACAATAACAATGAATAAATTATAGTTTGTCCTTTCATTCTGTGTGGTGTGGCATTTACCATGATATCTAAAAATACTTGATATATTGAAAAATTTAGGTATTAGAAATGTTTAAATTAACACTGCATATCTAATTACAATTTTTTTTCCTATTTCTGGCTTTAAATTATAACACCTCATAACTTCTGTACACTTGACAGTTGTTGGACATCAGCTCATGTGATTTATTTTGGTCCAGCTGACAGCTATGACAGTAATAAACATTACTGTCAATTTGGAAATATCAACAGACATGCAGCAAAACAAATGAATATTCCTCTAGTTATCTTACAAAATAATTTGAAAATAAGGCTCAGAATGGTTCCAAACTGAAGAACTTGGACTGTACTAGGGTAGCCAAGAAGCTGTATAAGTCTGGAGGTTTTTAACTCCGAATTTCATCTTTATGCTTACAAAATGATTATCAGAGCTTGCTCCTGCTGTGCTTCTTATAGATTTGAACTGTATTTCAATCTTTTAGC